ACACCGGGTTCTCCCGCGCCGGATCCGCCATTAACCTTGCCACTGATGAATATCAAACGTATCTTCCTCCGCGCATCTATTCTCCGCACACGACAGACACTGCTAAACGGCTGACTGGCGATCGTGAAATCGTCATACGGGAATTATGAAATTCAGTGCATTCGAGGCTACCGGTAGCTAGGTCTCTCGTTTCTACGTAACGGTTTAATTGGACCGTGCCCGATTATACCGAATACACGAAATTATCCGACGCGCACCGCCGTTTCCCGCCGCGGTTACCGCTGGATCATCGACTTTCCTTTCTGCGTTGTATAGCTCGCGTTGGAAATACATGTCGGCAGCCCGGTATTTCCCGATATTTCTCCGCGAGGTGAGACCTCGACAATTCGATTTTTCAAACGTTCACCGTGACTCCGCCGTTAGACGCTTCCAAGTCCCAACAGAACGTGTCCGGAATGCTCTGCAGCCAATATTGTTTCGATAAATTTCTCCGCGTTTCGCTTCGTTCGACGATAAGCTTAAAGCTCGAGAAGAAGATCCTTAAAGAGGACGTAACGTCTTGCACGCCGCGTCGCAGAGTTGCTAAAGATCGCGAATTCAGTGCGATCTGAATTTCACCGACGGGGGAAGAATCGGATTGAAACGAGTCGAACGATTGAGGGCCGGCGGGAGGGATTGAAGTAAATGCAGCGATTTCGTTCATCGAGCGGTTAAACGCAGCTACAGATTGAGCGTTAAACGATTCGCGCGCGGCCTTAATGAGCCGCGGCATTAATGCACACGGTACGTGTAAAAATCCGACCGACGGCCAGCGTCGTAATGGCGTAAACGTAAATACAGACGTTCGTTCAGAAATGTATCCATTGTGGCGGAGCGGGAATTCGAACAAATTGTTGCCGGTGGTGCACTTCACTTAGCAAAAACCGTCAAAGGGACGGCTGCAACAATGCAACGCGTCGGTGCAGATATAAAACCGGGAGAGCCGGGGGGGAGGGAGGAGAAGGGGAGGAATGATGGATCCGGTGGGCGAAACAAAAGGAACGAATTAAAGTGCGCGCGCGATGAAAGGTCAGTAAATGAAAATGTATGAAGAGAGAGAACGGTATCGACATCGCGTGAACGACGATGAAACAACGACGATAACAGCGTTGATTGCAGCGGACAGAACGTGGCCGGCGTATTAACGGCCGCCGCGATCAAACGTAACGATTAAATCGAAATTAATACGCGTCCGAGAATCCGAGTGTTCGATTGCCCGAGCGAAACTCGTCAAAATTCCATTCCCCCTTAATTCACGCGCTGCGCGTGCACTTCTTCGCGGACGTGCGTTCACTTTTCTCGGTTCACGGAGAATTCCAGTTGCAAAATGCACGTTCGTTTCTCGACGGGGGGAACACACGGAGGGCGTGTTTGGTGGGTATTCGTCGAAACAGAGAGAGAAAACAAGAATTCTTTTTTCTTTTTTTTTTTTTTTGGTAGTTTTCACGGCTCGTGCTCGATTCGCGCGGTGACAGTGGCTTTCGAAATTTGGAAAACTGTCATCCGCAAACGCGTTCCGCCGACGTGTTTCTGACGAACGAGGCCTGACCGAGTCAGCTCCAGTTTCGAGCGCAGTCTGTTATAATAGACCGAGAATCGACGAATGCGCGCCGACAGATCGTACGGACGGCTACGTTCCCGCTACAACGAGCTTGATCCTTCCAAAGAAAAACGCAAAGCACCGTCGCCGGTAAGTAAATATTAAACTCGGTTCAACGAAAGCTCCAAGCACGTGGACCACGCAGCTAGCTTGTCGCAATTAACTTTTCTAATCCCAGTAGATTACACGTTTTGCGTTCCGAGCAAAGTTCCAAAGTGCGAGCAGCTCGTGACACACGCGTGTTAATTAATACGCAAAACCTGGCAATCTCCTAGCAAGCTAAAACCGAAAGAAGCACTTTGGGATTAAATGAAAAGTGGAAAAGGCGAGACTGAGAGGATTAGAGCCGCGGCCAAGCGAAAACGAATAGAAGAGGAGGCAAAAGTCACGATCGTAGGCGGCTGTATGAATGTATGTATGTATGTATGTATGTATGTATGTGTGTACGTTCTCTCGTGGTGGCGTCATCTCCGTTATCCGAGTCGTTGCTTCAATTGTTAATCGGCCTCTCGCGAGGGTGTGCTACGACCTTCGAGCTCGTTGTTACGAACCGCATTCCATCCGGTAACCGGTACAGCCAGCCATAGCGCCGCAAGCACGATTCAGAGAACGCTTTATGGGTTTCATTAAAGCTCACGGAGCTGGTGTAAGGACATATGTCCCCGGGGGGAATGGCACACGGGTTATAAGGAGGCTGCGGCGCGCTCGAGTTCATAGACGTGGCCGCGCGATTTCTCGTACGCTGCTCAACATGTACGCAATGTTTACACAAGCGAACAACCACCTCGATGCTCTCCGCCCGGGCAATGAATCCGCATTACGACGTTGCCCGACGCATTAAACTATAACGACTGCGAGGGCATTCGGCCATAGCCAACCAACTGGTCAGCGACCGTGCGTGCCCTGATCTTCCTGTCGTCTCCACACCGTATGAACATACGTGCACTCTGCCAGCCGGGTTTCCACCGGCGAATTCGTCCCCGGCCTGCTAGATTCCAGTTTCCTTTTTCCTTTGTTTCTCTTCTTTTGTGGAAATGTTACTGTTCCTCGGTGTCTCGACACGGTGACCCTTACTAGCATTCGAACACCGTTTCTCACAAAATTATTGTCAAGCAACAACAGCGATTAAAAGGGTCGCTGTAAAAATATTTCGCAACGGTGTAACGCCTGCAACTTTGGTAGGTTCTTTCTCACGAAAGATTTGCGTCTCGAGATTTACTCTAGTTCTAAGGTCAAGATGGGGAAAGAGTAACAAGATGAAGGAATCCGTGGGAGGAGGAGGAAAAAAGGGTGAGAAGGACGCACGATCGACTCGCGTACGTGCGGCGAATATCGGAAACTGGCCGTCGAAACAGTCTCGTTGGCCTTGATCAGGCATCGACGAGCAATTGACGAATTCACCCCGAGAGAGAACGAGCCGGCATCTAGCCTCCTGGTTACTCGGGTCAACGGTAATGCGATAGAGTTACGTGGCTACGGTATATGCCTTGGCCACCCTATTATATCGGTCTAGAACCCTTTGGGAAATTGTCTATGGCGCCGGGCTGGGCCTCGATCAACCGTGAAATGTAGTCTGATACGTATTACCGTGGCCGAGCTATCGTTCCGTTATGCACTTGGATGCCACACATTGCCGGCCGATCGAATACCGTTCCGATCAGAACCTACAAACCGAGATCTCGAGATCCTCGGGTGCCGAGCCCGCGACATAATTCTGCCGCCTGGTCGTGTAATTTTTCCCCGCGTTAATTGATACCGAGCTCGAGCCACGAACTACTGTGCCGAGTTTTCAGTCCGGTGCGTACCGCGCGTACATCGCTAACGAGTGTACGGTCAACGAGATTAATCGATCGTCGCGTCGAGATTCGCGGAATCAAGGACTTTTCGTTGAGCACCGACGTTTATCGAGTGCCATTGCGAAACATCATCTGGTCGGTCGATCGGTGCTAAAAAAAAAAAAAAAAAAAAAAACGCAGCTAGGATTTTTAATCCTCTACACAGTTCCCGTACAAAATAACGGAAAATGTACGCGATAGTAGTGGAAGGTGTAAAAATCGAAAAAACGTTCCGATGTTTCTCCACGTTGTACAGATAAATCATGTTCGTACGTGCGGATCTTTGTAATGAAAAAACAAGCAGTTATTGTTCGAAACAAATTTAGCTTCGGGAGATAGATGTGCCATTTTTTTTATCATTTTGAAGAAATTTCACCTGTGGAGGATGCGTTCTCACTTTGGTGTATTCCCAAAACCACCTTTTTGTGTACGACAATGCACAAAAGCTGTTGGCCGGCACTTTGAAAGTTATCGCGAGCCGCAAGCGGATTAACGCGGACTTTGACATCCGTACGCGTCGTTAAAGCAATTCCCGAGAGTTGTGGCAACTTCACCGTAAAGAAATTTATCGCTTGAGGGCCGTTTGATAACGGGTCGTTTACCACCCATTACTCGCTGCTCGAATTTCCGTCGTTGAAACCGTCCACTGACCGAAGAGAATGCGTCCGAAATGTCGCGCGTCTCGGCTCGGGCCAGCGAAACATCGGCGAAACGTCCTCATTTTTGTTTCTCTTCCTTTCTCGTAGCGAAAGTCCTCGTAGTAGAGGCGATCTACATCTACGAGATCGTCCTCGGAAGGAGCTTTATCAAGGATGCAGCGTCTTTCAAACTCGGACTCGTGTAACGGCGTCCTCTACCCGGCATTAAGAGAGATAAGTGAAGCGAGAATGATTCACGAGAGATGGAAATAGAACTATGACCGTTTCTCGACCCCGTGGTGCCGGAGCTCTCGTCCTCGCTCTTCTCGAGGGTTGGCCAAGAGCCCTGAAGAGCCCGTAAGACGACCGCCGGTGTAGTACGAGGCCGGACCACTCCCTCCCCTTTTCGAAAAATACACGCGCGCTCTTTCCCACGCGGAGCAAATTCCCGTGTACTCTTTCCTTTTCCCCTAGGCTGGGCTTTTCCAATTCCTTCGTTCGATTCGCAATCCGCGCTGCTCGATCCCTTCTCGTTCTACGAGACGGACGAAATCGATTCCGAATCGAACGAACGTTCAGCAAAACTCGTCGACGCTTATCTATCAACTCTTTGAGGCACGAAAAGCAAAGTTGTACAGAAAAAGTTTGACAAAAGTTTGACAAAAATGGGATTGCTTCGCAGGCAAACTGGTCGAGACTAGAGAAAATAGATTAACAAAGCCTGTAGGAGAAGTCCATGCCTGAACAAACTGTGACTGCAACTGAAAGTAATCCAGTTACTTTAATCTTTTGTTCCAACGTTTTCGCGCGCTATGCCCCTCAAAGAGTTAACAATCGTTGGGAGAAATTAATGGAATTATGTTTCTGTTCTGCTCTCGCTAACGCAAGATATGGATAAGTTCTCTTCGTTCGCCGAGGACGTGACGCTCGCCCGCTTCTAGCGCATCTAGCGGCACTGTCAAGGTAAATTAACCATTAACAATCTCAGTTTTACGCCAATACGCTTAACAATCTTTGCTAACCTTGCGCAACGAAGGAGACGATTATCGCTTTTAATACAGCCTTCTCGCTCGTCTTTGTTCAACCGTTCTCTGCAACCATAAACTCGAGATATCTCGCGGCACAATATCGTTCATATTCGACGTCGCGGAGGAGCCTCTTTCAGGATTCATTACATTCTTCTAACAGTTCCGATTCAAAGAAAAATCGTAGCAGACTTGACTTCATTGTCAAGAACGTGTCGCGCAAAGAACGCGTAATTTATGTTTCTTTTTTTTTTTTTTTTTTAAATTCGTATTGCAACATGACGTGCCATTTCTCTGAATTATGTCGTATCGAAGAAAAGCGAACATTCCAGGAAACTGAAAATTATCCCAGAAACCCCGGCGTTTGTGTCTCACATTTAATATCTCTCGTTTAACATTCTACGAATCAGAGAATTTTCGTTCTAATAAAAAATATCTATCTCGTACGAACGATACCGCGGCATGATTAATGTTGCAAGGTATCTCGAATCTCGCGGTTGCAAGCGGTTAACAACGCGTTTAACATTGTAATATTACTAATCTTTGATCCGATCGATCGCCGAATCATCTGGATGGATCGAGGCGCGCGCGAGGAACGAAACGGTGGGGGTTTCCGGTGACAAAGAACCGGTCAGAATATTAAACGTCGCCGAGCAAATTTATCGGGGAGCGCGTTTATCGAACCTATCTGTCCAGGTAATTCGCGACGTTGCCACCTGCAACAAAGGACTAACCATCGATCTTCCTGACATTGTTGTGCTTGCAGCTTGCACATCGGGACATTCATCGTGTTTTGTTTTGTTGTAGCCTCACCTATATTCCTCCCCAACACCCGTTCAGGTTCCTACATACGCGTCCTCGACTTCTCCACTCTCCTCGGGCTCTCCGCGTTCCCGCGCGATATTCCCATTCCCACGCGAACCGACCAAACGTCCCGAGCTTTCGCCACCTTCTTCTCGCCTCGTCCGCCTCGTCCGCCGGCTCGGGACGCCAACGTTTTCCATTTTACCGCTTCGTTTCCTACATCTTCCCACGTCACCCTCTCCTGTTCGTCGTTGCCTCGTTTCGCGTCTGCAACGAGTACCTGGCTACGCCGTCGATTCTCAGAGGTAAGTCTAACACGCCGCGTCCTCGGCAAATTTATAGATACTAGCTGTTACTAAACGTACCGTGTACGTCTCGGTTAAATGAGAAAATTCGGTTTGAAAATTCTGCATTCATCGTTATTTCATTTGTTCGATCAACTCTATGTTTATGAAAAAAAAAAAAAAAAAAAACGAATTCTTTTCTCCCTTATTATCTAAAAGTTACTCTGTGCCTTTTTTTCGTCTATATTAAATTGACAATTACCTGTAGTGCTCTTGTAAAAAATTTCGTAATCTGGTACCTGATCAGTTACGGTAGATATAGATATATATATATATATAGGTATATAAATATATAAAATATATAGGTACATGTCGGTACGTTTAGTGTTAACGTTTAGTTTTATACACGACAGTGAAAAGATACAAATGGCGCACATTTTCTTTCTCTCCCGGAAGCTTAGTTTTTCGCATTAAATTATTTGTTTCATTTCAAATTTTCCAAAGAAAGCCCACGCGAAGAGTTTCCTTCAAATCCGAGATAATCCGGTGACACAATACGGTACCTGGTACCTACTTGCGCTGGTGAAATTAATTATATACGACGTGACGAAGATATTTCCCTCAATTTTCACGTAATGTCGTAGAGATGGGCTCGAAGCGTGTTTGAAAACGCTTTCTCCCGTCGATAATTCCGCGCACGTTCCCCGTGAACGTTTGGAAAAAGTAATTCGTAGATTAATAAACGCGGATCCCCGACGGTGGTGTGTGCAGCCTCGAGTTTCCCTGGAGTCCTTAGATAGCGCGGCGCGGCAGGGGATGGAGGAACGGTCGTTTTGCGAGAAGGAACGCCGGTGAAAAAGGAGAAAGAGGCGGAGGAAAACGGGGAGGGAAAAGAGTGCCCAGGGATATGAGCTCCGCGATATCTGCGCCGGAGCTCTTTGCTAACTCGCGGCAACCTTTACATCGAGAGAGGGGAAAAAAGGTGCTCGGGAAAAAGCGGCGAAACGCAGCGAGCACGGACGCTTCGCGAGAGAAAGAGGGAGAAAATAAAGGAAGGTAGAAAGAGAAACTGGCAACGATCGTCCAAAGAAATCGCTGCTAAATTCTCCGTGTCTAGAGACAAGCTCCAGAACGTTTACGTTCGCCAACGGGATATTTTCGGAATAATTTCATTTGTTAAAATTCCAGAACTCGGAGAATTCCGGGTATCGTGTACTCGATTTTATAGGACAAAATACGGGACAAGGGCTGCAGTGTTGCGCAGAAATAATTCGCCGGGAGCGAAGCGTTCTCTCATTCGACCGCGAATCAGCGGAATTCGTATGTATCGAGGGACGGGTCCGAGAGCCGAGATTCATAGGTACACACACGGTGTGTGCAACGTGTGCAGGATACGCAGTCCTTAACACCGTCATAATGGACTTGCAAACTATTCAGCGCGTGGGAAACCGGGCTAACTTGGTCCGGTTTCAAAGGCTTGGCGCGCTCAGCCAACTACGGGGACAGTTGCGAATTACGAATCCGAAGATGGTGCAAGTGCTGACTACCGCGTATTAGAGAGAAACTGCGTTAGAGAGAAACTCGTTACTCGGTCGCGTGCAAGTTTCGCGCGGCGTTTCGTAGGCGGCGTGGAGGCGGGGCGAAGAATAGTACGCTTACGAACGGAGGATCAACGACAATTAAAATCGCAGGATGAAAGCAAGGGCGGTTGGATTGGCGACTTTGATCGGGGGGAAATTCGTTTAATGGCGGATAAAGGCGCGTTTCACGCCTCGCGGTGAGTCGCATTCCGCGACGATCGAAATCAATTACGGGGACAAATTGTAACGAGCGTCCCTCTCCACGCGAGAGCGGCAGATAAAAATTAAATTTCCCCATTTTCATTGGCGGCCGCGCGAACGGCAATTAGTTTTTAATCATCGTCGAGTGTAATCGCGTATTAATACGCGAATGTTCGCTCCCCCCTCTCCCCCGCTCGCCTCTCTCCCTCTCCTCTGCCGCCCGCGAGCCGATAATTGCGCGCGGGAACACGCCGGTAAACCGGTGGATATCGTTTCGTTGCCGGCCGCAACAAGAACGAAACCGCGACGACTTCAACGTTCATAGATAAACCTAATGGCCCATGCTAATTAGAAGCAAAGACCATTATCGGGCCCCGGCCAGCCAGGCAAAAACAAATTTGTCGGCCACATCTATTACCGATTCCGCTTGTTCGTAACGGCTGCTAACGCAAATCTCCGCTATACATAATCAAATATAGATCCCGCTCCGAAACCTAACCCACCACTGACTGTGTAAACCGTCGTAGCGAGCGGCCACTCATTTATTCGCGCATCCATTAAAGCACAACTTTCCCTGTTTTCTCTATTTCGCGGTTGCGTAACGCGAGGATTGAACGAGAGAGGGAGAGAGAGGATTCTCCAGGAACCATCAATCTTGGAGAATGGTTGAAACCGGTCTAATTGTTACTTAGCATCAACCCCTAGGATAGGAAGAGGGTAGCGGAAGCATACGATCTACGGTATTCTCTGGCTTAATCATTCGCTACTTAGTCCAGAGTTATCTCCCACCCGTTGACCAAACTTTCCTACTACGGCGTCGGTTCCCCGAGGAACTTGGCGACCCCTCCAGATGCCCCTCCATCAGATAAACTTAATAGAACCGGACTAATTAGGCCGGAAAGACGGAGAGAGAGCGGAATGGAATCACCCGATGCCTTTCGCGGCTCACGAATAATTTCCACGGCCGCTTGGCTGCCGCAGGAGAGCCTCGGGAGATGAAGCAACTCGCCGACCAACGTCATCCACGCGCATCCCGCATCCTGGATCGTCGATAACTCGGCACCGTCGTCGACTAGTCTGCTCGAATTCACCGCGGGGAGCACACTTCTCGGAAGGTTGAGCCTTTCAGGAAGTCCTTCTGACACGCGAAGCTACGTCCTCCCGACAGCGTCGGCTGCGTCCACGTTTACTCCTTGATCGTACTGAACGGGGTAAGAATTTCCTTCTTTTCTCTCACTTTTTTTTTTATCACGCATCTGTTGACTACAGTCTCGCCAGTATATTTTTCTACACAGCGATTTTCTTCCACACGATCACTCGTTCGAAACTTGGCGAGCAATCTTGCGGAATTAATTTTTTCAAATGGTTAAGCTTTGCATATGTTATATTCATTTCTTCGTTGTTACGAACGAGGTGTCTTGCGTTGCAAAATCGTTCATGACGCACTGTGCGCGGGATATTTCGTCAAACAATATAGTTCATGACGTGCTATGAATGAGAAAATATTCGCGTATTTTTTTTTATAGATCAATTTGGATAAAAATCAATTCGTTTATTAATATAAAAAGGACCGTTTAATCTTAATTTCTTCGCTGTTGCGAAAGAAATATCTTTATAAACAACATCTTTATTTTCATCTTTGGTATGATTCTCTTCCTTTAACGCAACGGCTATCGCAGACAACTTTCTGTTTTTAACATTTTATAATTCTAGATTCACTCTGCAGATTTCTTTCTAAACGCAGCCTTGAAACAATACAAATTCTTTTGTGCGAATGATGCACTAACGTATAAGATGTAGACGAAATTCAATTAAAAGAAAAGAAATCGTAGCTAACTGCTGATTTAAAGGATCGAAGAAGAATGACAATCCATGGCCGTGTTACGAAATAGAAATAATTGACACAGCCGGGCGGTCAGAGGAATGGAATTTCAATTCAGTTCGCTCGTTAGAGCAGAGACAAGGTAAACTATCGTTGGCCAGGTCGATTCCATTAGCTGTCTTGAGCTGTCTCGTTTGTCGCGGAGGAGATAGAGGGGAGCAACGACACCCTGTTACACCGAATATCTCAGAAGGGTGAGCCGCGTTGAGATAAAGATGAATTTACATGCGGTTGCGGGAGAGCGGGCACAAACGGGGGATGACGGAAGAGGATGGAGAACCAAAGAACGAAAACCAACAAAGGTGGATCCTTCCGAGCGACGCTCCGTTCGTTGTACAAAAGAGTAAGGACCGTGTCGAAACAACGCTACCGCGAGAGGGAAGAAAGTTCTAGGGAAAACAGAGGAGCCCCGCTCCTTCCGTCTCGTTCGAAATGAGAAATTGCCGGAGGACTTTGCCAGGATAAATGAATCAACGCCGGGTACTTGACAGTTTCGTTTTAACTGTTGAATATTTGATTGACCCGCGGACGTGGCAAGATCACCGTAAAACCGCTAATTTAGCTTCGAGCTTAATTTCTTTGAGCCCCGAGTTTACCTTGTCCGCGATGGCGCCCCTTTAAATCGAGGACAAGCTTTCGCGACTTGAATACACACCGAACGAAGATAGAGAAAGAGAGAGAGAGGGAGGGAGAGAAATTCCTTTTAATCGATTCGAACTTCTTTCTCATTACAGAGTATCGTCAAGTGGTTCGACATCGTCCAAGTGCAAACACGAAGAACGGAGGAACTCGAGGAGCAAGAGTCATCGTCCAATGGAAACACCGTGTTCACAGCGGAGGGAACCGAGTATCGCAGCTGAATTCGACGTTCGAAAACAACGGGAAAAATATCCAGCCTGTCTCTCTCTCTTCTTCTGTCGCTCTGTTCCCTCTCTTTGCCGTGCTTTCTCCTTTTTTTTTTTTTATTTTCTTTTTTTCCACCCCAATTGCAAACGCGAGAAAACACGATGAACGTTGCTCGCAACTAACGGCGCCGGCAAAACTATCGCTGCCAAATCAAATTTAAGTCCCACGTGTGTGAACCGCATTTAACGGAGATATGTTTTCTTTTTTTTCTTTTTCCTCTTTTTTTCTTTCACCTGGCAGTTGGCTGTCCGCGTGTTTCACACGGCTTTAATTTCCTCCCGCGGGATCGGCATCCCGCTCGTCCATCATTTACCGCGTATCGAAAATTAAAAACGTAGCTTCGCCACGCTCGACATCTCGCGTACACGTCGTGTACGTACGTGCATCGATTTTTTGTTTTCTCCTATCGCGCGTCATCATCGAGAAAGCACCGTGTCTTTCGACGTTCTCGCACCACGGAATCTGTTGTAATCTCTGTTGAAAGCGACTCGCAAAACCGTTTGTCGCTCGACGGATTTTCACGCGGTGAGCGAAGAGAGAGAGAGAAAAAGAAAGAAAGAAAGAAAGAAAGAAAGAAAGCACAGGCCGCGAGGATGGAAGAAGCGAGAGAGACGGAGTCGTAAACTTTATCCGCAAGCACGTGCGGATCGTTAGAACGCCACGTGGACCCGACGATTTCGTTTTACGGGATTACAGGAAGAAAGGACACGACGCGAACGATCCAAGGATCCTGTAATAGGATTTCCGGGATCAGCGTACAGTCTTCCTGCCGCGGTGGCCAATGTCTTCGAAGCGGGCAAACGTAATTGCGCGGATCGACGTGGAGTTTCAACGATTCCCTACAACTCGCACACCTTATATTATATCTCGTCGAGTTCGTTCGATACCGATTCATCCGAGACGTTCTATCAAACGTAACGCGCGTGTGGTATGTACACGTGCCTCTCGTTCGTTCGCGGAATTCAAGCGAAACTGTCAAGAAACAAGTTTGTGATTGATTTAGTCGACGGAGGAGCAACTGCCTCGAGGAACCTGCCAGGCGTTCCGAATCTACAGCAATGTTATCATTGGGGGGGGGGGAAAAAAAAAAGATACCGTTTCTCGGTTTTCGAGCGAGACAGTTCGAGCGAAACGTGTGCTCAGACGCGTCCAGGAGAGCCTTGTACAAAGTATTCCTTGTATCCCTTTTGAACAACGCGCGCGCGCGCGCGTGTGTGAGAGTGTGTATGTATGATACGTATGTGTGCGTGCGCGCATGGGTGCGTCGAACGATCGAAAGAAAGAAAGAAAAAAAAAAAGAGAAAAAGAAAAAAGAAACGACGAACGGCGATCGATTCGTCTACTCTTTCAGGGATAGAGCAAAAATCGTGGAACACGGTGGAAATTGGTCGGCAAGGGTGATTCTGCGGCTGTACGTTCCGTCTGCGACAAGGGTGGTTGCGTTATTACGCCGAGACCGAAGAAATCAGGCAGCACTTTAATTAACGGAGCTCGCGGCCCAAGCATCGCCGGCAAGAATTGTTACGCCCCGACGGCGAGCGAGTAATTGCATTTTCGCTGCACCGTCGTCGTCGTCGTCGTCGAATCGTAATATCGGGGTTCGATTGGCCTCGCCGAAACGATCGTACGAGGAAAAATAGGAAACGGCGCCAGGAGCGTGGAAGTAACGGCGAAGAAAACAAGGCACGCTGATAATCAAGGCGCGAATAGACGACGATAACGACCCGGGCGGTGTTACTCGTTAAGAAGAGAAGCTAAACGACCGAGATGTGTTATTCGAGCGAGCATTTTTTCCGCATGCAGATATCTCCTACGACGCTTGTGTGTGTGTATCCGCGTTTCCATCGATCGGGCAACACGCGAGCGCGCGCGCGCGCGCTCACTTTTTACATTTTAGAGCTATAAAGAAATTACATATAGATAGTTGTCGAACGAACGAGCGAAACAGTTGTTGTGCTCCAGCGTTCCTTCCTGCGAGAGAAGAGGAAATACTTTGCCATTCTAGCGATATACCAGAGACTTTGAGAAGGGAAGAAGGTGGCAGCGTATGATGTCCGTGCAAGCTTACTAGTGCCGCCGTGCTTTTTCGTTACAAATTCATTTCGTCGCTCGTACCTATCGAACGATTTGTATGAAAGTCATCGTAAAGTCAACGATGGCGCGTCGTTCCGTCTAGTGGCCGTCACCTATAAACCTCTGTTCGACTTTAATCCTTGAACGCGTGACAATTACTCACGTATTACGCCTCGTGCGAAATGATCCTCGATTTCTTTTTACGCCCGATCATTACCGAACAACAAGGAGGAAAGACATGTATAAACGCGTCGACACCGGAACGGAACGACGAGCCGAATCATAGCGAACAAAAGAGGAATGTATTTTATGATATTTTACGCATAAAAGAAAACGATCGTAAATCGAATATAGCGAGTTAGTCCAAGGTAAAAACTTAAGTAGAGGTGTATAAAACGAGAAACTCAAAAAGCGTGCGTAACACGTTGCACAGTATTTACGAGGGGCTGAGAGGTGAACGCGTCGATTTTGTCGAGCGAGTGAGAAAAATGAATAAAACAGGGCCGTGGAACGGTTGATTGCGCGCAAACGATCGTACCAGCGACGATGATAGTTAATTACCGATAGACGACCGTCGATCATTATCGTTAACGTCAGTCCCGTAACGAGATGATCCTATTCCAGGATATGCGTTTCGCATCGCAACGGAAATCCGACCCGCTTCCGGGGACGTGTTTCGCGGTTTCTTTTCTACGGAAGTCAATGGGAACATCGGCGAGACCGATCCGCGCCAACTGCCCTGTCACCAGATAAAACACTAAGCGCTACTGTAAAATATTGTATATTATTTCACGTTATTTATTTTTCAATGTTTTTACTAGGAGACGCGTTTTTACGATACTCACAAAAAAGAGAATTATCGCGTAACGTTATAGAAACATGTCTCGTTCTGATCCGCGGTGCTGTGCTTACATATATATACACGATACGTACACTACGATAAACTTGTGACGACCAAAAAAAAAAAAAGAAAAAAAAACGCAGCCTGTCAATTTTCCGGACCCTCCTAGCAGTTAACGATCGTTCAAGAAAGCGATAGAGAAATGAGAAACCAAACTCCAAGACACATCGACGAAGCAACGGTTTTCTGAATCACAGTCACGGCGGATCAGCCGGATTAGAATGTTTATAAACTTCAACGTATTTCCAGCAGCTTTTGCAGTGTGTAAAACTAACCAGAGAAACCGAAGCAAATCTAGTCTAGGCGAGATTTAAAAGCGTACAGCTTGCGCGTTTAAGGATTATTACGAACGTGCCGTCCGCCCTCGAAATGATCGGACGTGATCGTGAGCGTGAAACACGCGAACGCACGCGGATGAAGGAAGCAAGCTTGCCTTGTTCTCGAAAGTTAAGTAATGTTAGTTTTGAAAAGAAACAAAAAGAAAAAAAAAAAGGAGAAAAAGAAGAGAAGAGGGCCGATCGAACGATTCGTTCTGTACGATGCGTGACAGGGGACGATTATGTTTCCGAGCTGGTCTAATAGCAAATCAAGTGCACTATGAATCGTATGGCTAACTCTAGCAGCACGAAGTCTAACGAGTTAATAGTGAAATTGTCGTAAGGGAGAAACGAACGCTGCAGGTATAAACGAAGCATAAGCCGCTGTTGATGTTTCCTAACTTGGTCTTCGATTTCTATCGAAGCGATCGGGTACAATAGGTACCGAACGAAAGGATATTACGACCAAATACCATTTATTCGACATCGTAAAATGAAAAGAAAACGGAAGAACAAATTTACGTATGACAGAAACGACGTTTCTATTGAATTAGAAAAGGAAAATCATATGATTCGAATCTGCCGCAATTACTAATAAAAGAGAAATGCCTAGTCAACATGTACCGTGCTCCCAGAGAATATATTTACGTTCCGCATTTTGTAATTTCGTTTCAATATTCATGTATTACCGTAACGTTGATTGCGACATCGAAAAAAATAAACAAGAAAATAGAACGAGGTATTCGATAAATTTGGAGCACCTGTACACTTAAGAATATTTAAGTAATGCTAACGATGTTACTTGCGATTTGGTATATGACGAACGTCAAACACAAAAAATATTTTATTCTAGTCGTATCTTTCATGCTTTGCCAAGTAAAATAATATAATTCCTGTGTTAAGTGTAATAGTCAATTATGTTTTAATAAAATCTGCCAAGATTCTTGTCAATCCTTTTCTTTCTCCCTAACCACTGACTGAGCAATTAACTAACTAAAAATGTATATAAAACATTAAGTAACTAAAATAGTATATGCTGATATTGGGAAGAAGAAACATGGGAGACCATGATAGGAGGATAGCTTGGAAGCAGGATTTCAAACTATCAAACTATCAGAGTTATATCAAAATATATATTCGTATAAAACTCTTTGTAGATGTAGTATAATAGTAATAATTCATATGTATGTTCAAACCCTTTGGAACAACATGACCACTTTCATCTTCATAAAATATTAAACAGCAGTCTTTAGTATTAACTATTGCTAACAAGATAAAAGAAACATATTTCATATATATAGATTTCAATTATAGATAAAACATGTAATTTCTAAACGTTCCTATAACTAACTATAGTATCCATTTTATGAATAGAAGTTGAAAATGATCGTAATTGTACTTCTTGACTATTTGCAATGAACACTGGCTGTGTTTCATCCCATTCTTTCGGGATACTACAGTCAGGTACAGTATATGTCAAAATATCAAACGAACATAAACAATCCAATAGTGGAAGAAAACTTACAGTACCTGAAACATAAAAAATTCAATAAAACAGATTTCGATATTTCATTAATCTGAGATACCGTAATAAGAGGACTCGAATTATCAAATTCAATCAGTTACCTGTGATTTGACGTATGACTTCACGAATCTCTCTTTGTATTGTCTTCATATCCTTTGTACCTACTTCAGGTAGACCATTACTTTTATTGCCATTGGCACCATTAGAGGCCCGACCTTCATAATCCACTTTGAAATCCCATTTCTCTAATACTTCTTTGGTATTCACGTTTGTTATAACGAGCGTGATCTTTTGTACTTTTCGTTGAGTGAGCCATTCTTGAATCTGGCCAAGAACAGTATTCAAGAATCCTTTGATCTTTTCATCCGTCGACATTAAAACGAACAAACCGAAATGTTCGGCGGGTTCGAATGTTTCTGGCGGATAAATGCCTCTTTGGTACAAAATGCTGTTTACGCCATAAACTGAAACAGAAAAATGAAACGTGAGAAATTCCAATGAAGTTCCATGTAACGGTCCGTTCAACTGTAAATACGTTTTAAAACAATAGAAAAAGTACAGTGGACTTACGAAGATACTCTTTAACCAGCTCTGCCGATCCTTTCAGCGTAATACATTTTGCTTTCTGCTGAGTTTCTGTCATAATTTTCAATCAATTAACGCGAAATACAATTGAACAAAACTAAATTTCCGCTCAAAATTCTAGTATCTTATAGGTTAGAACGACGCCGGTTTGCCATTTTAAAAACGTCCAATGAACTGCTTACTAACCAACGTTTTAACCAATCACAGATCAGAGGAAAAATTGATGAACTTTTAGTATGTTCGTGAAATAAACTAATGTCTAATGTAACCTCAATGAATATTACTTTACTTTAACTTCACATCGTAAAGGTTACTAAGGTTGAATTTAGTACTAAGAACTAAGTTGAATTAAGAACTAAGAACGAATTTTAAATTATCGAAATAATCTAGCCAATCGAAAATAACATCGCGATAATGTGTTCCAAAAGTAACACGTACGGTGCGAAAGGGCAACGCATCTTAGTCTGTCACAATTCATGCCCGACTGCAGCGCCACATGAGAATGGGAACTAATCGACAATATATTTCAGACGTACACTCAATCGTAACCAGTCTCTCGAGTTTTCAACACGCGTTCATCATGGCATCCGCCGAAGAACTCAGTGTCTCTGCCCTTGTATACGATTATTTATTGAAAAAGGACGCATCGCTGGCAAAAGTTTTCCAGAAAAAAACGAAAGCGGTAAGGTGTAGTGAGTTATTGTATACGTAATATGGTTGATCGATCTTTGAAAGGCAAGTGCCTATGTAACACCAGAAGTACCGCCATTTAGCCATACCACGTGGACGAAATATATTTGTTTTATTATATTTCAAATTCATCGTAAAATAAAACTTAATCATCGTCATTTTCATTCATTATATAAAACGTTACTTAATATTACTCTTAATATTTAATATTTAATTATTACTTAATATAAATTTACATTATACTTAATATAAATTTATATTCTTAATATTACTCTTAATATAAATTTATATTATATATACGTTACTTAATATTAATTAATATAAATTTATTTAAAATTAAATTATATTATAATTTATATATTTTCATGTTAATGTATTTTTTATATTGATATTTTTATATTTATATATTTTTTATATTCATATATTTTTTACATTAATTAATGTAAACAAAATATTGAATGAATTGGAATATATTTTTTTAAAATTCTGATTAATACATCATAAAGGTAGTAGTACAACTTTCATTCGTGATCGTTTCCTTTGTTGCCAGCCTGAGTTGCCAAAAGGTGCACCAACTATACAGGATGTATTTAATCACTTTCAAAAAACATCGTCAAAAAAATTAAACATAAAGAGACAAGCTAAAGATTCGAGTTCTGATACAAGTTCGGAGAGTGAAGAGGAGGCACCAAAGAAGGTGCCCACACAAATAAATGGTAAATCTACAGTTAATGCTGTAGTAAATAATAAGCAAAAAGAATCTTCTTCAGAAGATAGTTCCAACGAAGATCAAGATTCTACGTCAAAAGCAACTACAAAAATTAAAGGTATTGTCAAACCATTATCTAAACCACCAACTGTAAAGAAAAAAGAAAGTTCAGATGATAGTTCATCGGAAGAGGATACAGGTAAAACACAACCTAAAATAACATCAACACCAAAAGTAACTAAAACACAAGAATCTTCAGATTCAGAGTCTGATTCAGATGGAGAGGAATCTAAAGTAAATGTAACTACAAAAACAGCTAAAAAACCAGTTATTCCAGCCAGTAAAAAGAAGGAATCATCAAGCGATAGCAGCAGTGTTGGTGAAGACAAAAGTCCAGTTAAACCATTATTAAAGAATGTACCAGCTAAAACAAAAACATCATCTAACAAAGAAAAATCCAGTAGTGATGATTCTGATGATTCTTCTGAGGAAGAAAAGACTAAACCTCAGCCATCAATTAAAACTAAGCCAGTTACAAAACAACAGAAATCTTCAAGCGATGATTCTGAGGATTCGTCAGAAGAAGAAACTAATACAAAGACACCAGTTGCTAAACCTATTCAAAATAAAAAGAAACAAGAAAAAACTACTCAACAAAAGAAAAAAGTAGGATCTATTTCAGAAAAGAAAGAAACATCAAAACCAGAAACTCAAAATAAAAATTTACCAACAAAATCAGTAGTAACGGTAACAAAAGATTCATCATCTGATGAAGATAGTAGTGAGGAAGAAGCACCACAAACCAAAAAACCTGCTCCTCCAGCAAAAGTAGCTCCAGCTAAAAGAAAGGAAACTTCTAGCGAAGATAGCAGCGATGAAAGCAGTGAACCACCAACTAAGAAACTTGCTGCTTCACAAACACCAGTAGCTGTAAAGAGCACACCAGCTAAGAAAGAAAAATCTTCCTCCAGTAAAGATAGCAAGGAACCTGCTCCTGCTAAATCAATAACATCTGTATCTAAGAAAGCACAATCTTCTAGTGAAGACTCTGATGATTCTGATGAGAACGACAAGTCAGTTACAAAAGCAACAAAGAAACCTGTGGTACAATCAGCTGCAAAGAAAGCTGAGTCTAGTTCTGAAGATTCAGATGAATCTTCTGAAGATGAAAAATTACCATCTGCAGTTACAAAAGCAGTAACAAAAACTAGTAAAAAGAAGTCTAGTGAAGATTCTAGCGAAAATTCAGATTCGTCAGATGATGAAAAACCTCAAACACCTACTGTTAAAACTACTTCAAAACAACCAGCTAAAGAAAATTCAGAGGGCAGCAATTCTGATAAGGAAACGCAAAAGAAAAAAGAAATACAAAATACACCTAAAGCTCAGAAAAGAAAACACGAAGAAGGAGAGGAAAATGAAGATAAGCCTCCTGCGAAAGCTCAGAAAAATAATTACAGTAATTTTGTAAAGGCAAACGATAGCTTCAATAATGACAAGGTAATTATTATTATATTTAATGTAATTATTCAAGAAAAGGAAAACATTTTTATTTATGAACTTCTATGTTTAGCAATCCAAAAAAACTCCATTTCGTCGTGTAAAGGACGAAGAGATAAAATTGGATCCCAAATTGGCAAACAATTCTTTTGAGGCAAAGGTAAATGCTTGGAAACACTTGAAACAATGCAGGTCACTCTCCGTTTTGTAAAAGTTTGAAACCGTTTCCGTGCATTCACCAACCTTTTAAGAGAATTATTAAAAAGATATTTATAAAGATGTTTTCCATAAATGATAATGTATAAAAAACGGCGATTGACCTGCGTATCCCTTTTGTTTTAGGAGGACAGTCAGGAGGAAGGTGGTTTTAAGAAACATAGTGGAAGGGGTGGATTTAGTAGAGGCAGAGACAATTTTGGTCGCGGTGGATTCAGGGGTGGACGTAATAATGATGGTGATAGAGATAGAGGTTTTGGTCGCGGTGGATTCAGGGGTGGACGTAATAATGGTGGTGATAGGGATAGAGGTTTTGGTCGCGGTGGTCATGATAGAGGAGGAAGAGGTGGTTTTAGAGGTGGTTTCAGGGGCGGTCGAGGAAATTTTAGAGGTGGTTTCGATGGTAGAAGATCATGGGGTGGGAATGATAGGAAATTCGATTCGGAAGGCGGTAAAACTGACGGGTTTAAAAAATCATGGGGTAGCAACGAAAATAGAAGAGATAGTCACGGTGAGTTTAGAGGAGGCAAAGAGGATTTTGACAAAAGGAGATCATTCGATAGCGCGCCAGTAAAAAATAAAAAGATAACGTTTGACGATTGATAATGGTAAAAATTATATATATAAGGTGAGAAGTTGTTAGTTGAAAATAATAATAATCCAAATAAATGTTCATATAGTAACTGAGAATGTAATTTTTGTTCAACAGAAGGGTGCTCGTGGATCGTGGGGAGAAAAAGCAAATGAAGCCTTCAAATTCACGAGAGGAAAGAAGTTTCGTCACCAAAAATTGAAGAAAAAACGTGGTAGCTATCGCGGTGGTCAAATAGATACTAATGTGAATTCTATTAAATTTGACGATTGAACAAGCAGTTATAAAATGTACATGTCCATGTTTTAATATTATTAGTTTTATTTAATTAAGTGAGCAGATTACATATATATATATATATATATAAGAATTTTCATAGTCCAAATTTTCTTTACCGAGAAATGTTTCGAGTCGCGACAGTATTATATTCGAAATTACGTAGAATGACACACGATTTAATTATGACATTTAATTTAATTGATCACGCGTAGTTTTTTTTTAACAATTAGTATCTATAAAACTGCAATTTGAGTGTATCAAAATTTTTAAAATTTTATTTTAATACAAGAAATATGAAAATAAAATAATAAAAATTAGTCAAAAATATATAGGTCTTATAGATACCTCGAAAAATATTTCAACATTGACTAGCCATTCTATTAAAATGTTTTTTTGTTATTAAAATGAGTTCAAACACAATATAATTATAATTGCTACAAATACATTTTTGTATTTTTACAATTACATAGACATTTACATTTATTAAACTAGATATTTGTTTGCGGTACACATATGCACTATATAATAAGTAAATACAACTCCAAATTATATCGTATTTGAGCTTGTTTCAATCACGAAAGTCTGACGGTTCATTAGTAAAAGTTTCATTGTTGCATTAATTTATTGAATTATAATATAATATTTCGTTGTAATGTTTCTTTCGATCATTCTGATACTCTAATCTTTTTCTATTTCATCTAGTATGTCCTCTATATTCAAATAGCACTCGATCCATATCTGCATTTAGAATCTATATCACCTCTCGATAACCACCAGTTTTAGGTTCCGATTTTCGGACATTTATGCAATGTAGTATATAATTTATAGTTTCGAATATAAATACATTTTATCATTGCCTTTTTTATAATTAGCAATAAGATCCTCCATATATAATATCTTAATAAAAGATTCAAAATATGAAATACAATTTGAATGTATTACAAAATATGAATACAATTTATAAATCGACAATTATTTATAAAAATTGTAATTGTATGAGTGTGCGGTAGAGTTTATACATATGGAAACCACTCCTGATTGCAAGCACTCGAAAAAATACAGTACCAATGCAAATAAACCCGAGCATACGAAATCTGTTGCACTTTATTACCGTTCATTTGAAAATATGTACTTTTATAATACATTGTCGCGGAATAACTACACGTAAAGACAATGTACACCAAATAATTGTACTGTTGTTTTAACTTCCGTAAATCCTATCAATATTTTTAATACATAAGTTTATTTTTGTGTAAAAAATAACTCTGGAGGAGAGGAAAAGCATGCATTCAACAGTTTGCCTTTTGACAAAATACAGAGGAAAAAGAGGGATGCTCTTATTTACCTTCTTTCGTTCTCTCTCTAAAAAGAAAAAAAAAAGATTTCGAGGGGCCGATATTCCTTGTCTCATCCCCTCTTTTTCCTTGGCTCTACCAGAGCACAGAGAGCGGTTACTTACGATTCTACAGTCAACCTCTAGACATCCACCTGTGAAGACGGAGGTGTTCGACCCCACGACATCCGGTGTGGTGACATGAACAGTGTTTAAGGAACTCGTGTGCCCCCGTTTCGATTCTCTTCTTTCTTAAATCCGAACATTGCGACCGATTCATGTAACGCGTGTAACCGATCACATTGTCGAACGGACCGAGATAAGAATTCAAGCGCACAGTGTTGGAAACGGTCTTTCTCACGGTGAGTGACATTCTATGTACCCTGTAACAGATAGTAATTACCAATTTTCATGACTGAATATAAAATCGGAAAACGGTATATATAGAATATAGCGACCCGAAAGTTTATAAACTTTTACAAATTAAATAATACCCGTACCGATCTCTAATCTAAAAATAGATCAACTATGCTCCGAAACTGCAAGATTTAACTTTGAGTTTGTGATTTCTAATTAGATTTTTTTCACATTGATCTTCCAGCGTCAGGGAAAGATTAAAATCAATTTTAAGAAACATTTCAAGCAATTACACAGATAGCGGAGGATTTTAAAAGTGATGATCGTAGTCCAATTGCCAAGATTCCTCGAGATCTTAAAATCTGAGGCATACATTTAAACATGCCGCCTCGAGTTACTTTTTCTTGCACAGTCTTGCGTTTTTCTAACTTCACTATGTTATTCCGTTCGGAGTCACAGTTACTTTTTAGTCATCAAGAATATTTGCTCCCAATGCAACGAGGAAACGATCGTTCATTGCGTAAATCTGCCAGAATGAAATTGCAATTGACCATTGGATAATTTACGCGGAGTTGTCATGTGCGCTTTGTCACGTAAAGATAAACGATAAACGAGACTCCTCAACAAGGAGGCCGAAGAGATTCCAGACTACTCGTAATAACTCCACGACAGTTATAATTTATTCATAAAACGAAGTACCGAAATCGCTGTACCGTTAACAGAGACCCGAAGGATGAATAAATGTTCGATATAGAACGAGCGGGGCGAGAGAAAAGAGCGTTTTGGACGATTCATCTTTACCGTTAGAAGCAACCGCATGACACGCTCATGGTCCATGAGAAATTCTCTCCTCGATGCCGGAAGCACGGTTTTTCCTCGGCCTTTTTTCTCCTTATGTCATATTTCATCGAGTTTATTTTACCTACCAATTCTCGCGCTACATCTAATCGTTCGAACTTCCTCGCTGATTCGCAACTCCAGTTGAACGAGCCTAGCTCGTTTCAATTCTAACCGACTGTTTCCACGATCGGAGATAGCTTGTTAATTATTCCCGCGACGTGTTAGCATATTAACAGTACTCTCCCGGACCAGCACTGGGAAAAAAAGAGCCGCTCAACAACGTGAGAAGTTGCGGCACGAATAATTGTTCTTGGTGATCCTAAATTACCGCGAATCCACGAACTCTTGGCTCTACCAAGTTCAGGCGATTCTCACAGGTCTCTCTTGGCTGCGCTCGGTCTCGCCTTTTTCGCAGGATCGCCGTTATGTAATCCAGCGAAACGCGACCACGGTATTCCCATAGATATTTGTCCTTATCACGCGATCGAAATACTTCTTCCAATTATCAAGTTAGTCTTCTTTCTTTTTAAGAGCACCATATTGTTTTAGTTACTCTTTCTCCGTTATCTAATTATTTCAGAGTTGAGTTTATCACATCCCGGCTCAAGTTCGAACGAAATATAAAAATAAACGTACGTTCCTATTTCTTGACTCGAGAGAGATATATAGAAATATCCACTTTGTTCGATTCGCACGGTGTAATACGAGGCATTTGGAATACTGCTGCTGGTATTACGGACGATAATATGTATGTGTTTCAGTTTTACGTTTCCTGCAGTGTAGGAAGAACGAATGCTAAAAGTGGGCAGCGCTTCCTGAAGAAATAGACGCGCGATACCAGTCACGGCCAATGACCAGCCTTGAGTGCTACCCATTAATGATTTTCTTGCTTTCCTTTTCCCACGCGCAATTTATCACTTGGCCAAACATCAAACCGCAATTTTCTGCCACGATGACCTCCAGCTTGAGAAACCGTGCGACCGATCGACCAATCCGAAAACCAGATCGAATATCAAGCTCTCTCGATAATAAAATTTTGCGAAAAGTACATACTCGAAACTGTGAGCATCGAACACGTTATTAGCCGCATGCTGTCGTAATGCTTTCACTCGTATTTGATTAACGACATGAAATACATACGGCGGAAGTTATATATGGATCTGGCAACCTAGAAACCCCGAACTCTATACGCTCCGCTAATTGTCAGTCTTACTGCTCACGTACACTCCGCTAATTGTCATTCCTAATTGCGTATGGTCGTCACTCTCTCGTGTTGTCCGGACGATTTTCATCGTTCGTGAGGCTCGAAAGGGAAAAAAGAAATGTTCACTCGCTCGGTCGTCTCTTTGCTGTACGCGTTAACAGCCCGTGAAACGGAATCTCTGTCATGAAGCGTCTGTCAGAAGGAAATGATAATGATAGATCAGGAGTCAATCGTTAAATGCTCGCGTTAGATTGAAAACGTTGAAGCGTGCGTACAGTTACTTATACATGCGTAATGGAAAGTATATATTCCAGCACGAGTATTATTGAGTGTTATTCCAGTTTTCGAAACGTTGTACTTGTAGATTTTTTAACAATTCCTCTACTAACTTATTAATTGCACTTCTGTCTATATCGTGGAACACGCCTTTGAAACAAGACTGCTGTCTAAATGGTTCTGTAAACGTGCAAGAACAGTTCCATTGATATTCGAAATGATTCGGTGGATTTTTGTATATATGTGACGCGTGAATGAGCAGACTCAATGTCGTTTACTTTTGCTCTTGACCTCGTGCGAACTCGAGTTCCAAGATCGCGCGTTCACTCACACCTTTTTTCGTCCCGGTGCACAACAGGGTCCTCTCGTACTAGGTTCTAATAAAGTTTCAAAGTGAATGTCAGTTCCGACTGTTTTATTCGTGAGATGTTGCTCACTGGCGTAATATATCCGCGTTTTTGAATCTATCTCTCGTTTACGTGAAACTATCCATCCGTTGCCATGCTTTCGTTTCACGGTATACGAAACGGCTATTGTTGCCATAATATAATTCGACCTAGCTAATTTATCGACTGAAATGCTCGGCTATGTTTCCAAATTAATTAGCAACAGCCAACGATTAATTCGTTCGAGCATGCTGTTCTCATGGTGTCGTTTCCTCGCTGTAATTTTCAGATGTCCAGGTACCTCGGTCTGATTCTCGTTATCACTGCATGCGCCCATGTATACGGGGCGAAAAAATGCGAAGGGAACGGGTTAGGCTTGAAATATGTATGGGGAGACGCACTCACGGATCCAGCTGACTGTATAGGACCAAATAACATGGAGTATCCGACGTAAGTGTTCTCTCTCTCTCTTTCTTTCTCTCTCTCTCTCACAAGTAGATTTGCGGATATGCAAATTCGACAAAATAAAATCTGAAACCTAAAAGATTGCTTTATGTACTAATTATTATAACGAGTCTACATATTTTTCACATATTTCATGAATATTAACGCATTAATGGCCCAATGATACCAATCAAGAATTAAACGATGTTTGCTGTATTTGCGATGCCCTTATCAAAACGAACGACTGCCGTAGTGCCGCGATATCGAGAAGTTACAAGAATCTTTGGACGAACAGTCGGATGGCCAGGTCCCGTCAGCCTCGAACTATCGATCCTGAATTAACCAGACAGGCTCTGCTTCACAATTACAAGATCGCTCATGGAGATTACTCGATTGCCGAATCTTCGCGAAACGGTGAGTTCCAATTCTCTGCTTTTTTTCCCCCCCACCGTCGAAAGTAGATTAATAGCTTCCACCTCTTTGGAGAAATTCACGACCGCGTTCAAAATCGCGTTTTGGAAGCGGCGAACGTTTTCTATACGGCTGGTACGATAATTTAACGGATCACGATCTAGCGGAGGACGTGGCTTGCTTTGAAAACACGCGGAAGACGAACTTGTCCCTCTTGTTTGAAGCGCAACAGTAGTCGAGCCGGTTACCTGAATGACGAATAATTACGGACAACTATAACCCACATCCTCGTTGAACACCTCTGTAATTTATTTATCCTGCGACTAGTACTTTGTCCAAATATAATCTTATGTAATAGCTCATCTACATACTCCGCTGTGTATAATGTAATGCCGCGCACTTATAATAAGGCGCATTTCGCTCTGCCGTTGTTGTATTATAATTATTGCAGTTGCTCTTTCGGAATATTATCATCCGTTCACCTACACTTTGCGAGGTTATTGTACCGTAACCGGTATTATGCATTTCATAGTGTCGTTTCTTCGTTAAATATTCTCACATAATTACAATATATAGGACGTTTCCGCAATTACTGATTGGATACGATTTATAAGAAACAACAGCAGATTATTCTATATATGAAGATAAATGGACAATGTCGAATTGTTTCATTTAAGGTTTCCTTTATTCTAAGCTTTCTTTAGATCCTCTAGGATAACAAAGATGGAACGCTTAAATCGCTCGCGTGCTCTAAAGAGATTACAATGTTATCGATTTATTTGCAAGGATTCCTCAGTCTCGGCTCAAATGTTTCTAAGACACCTACAAAATCACTTTTGTACGCCAGAAGCATGCTGAAAAATCCACAAAAATCGGAACAACCGGTTGCGCGATGTACCGGCACTTTGTAGCCTTGAATTATGCAGCTGTCCTTATGACACGAAAACCCGATTCCAACCGAACATCACCCGCTGCTCGCATACACTCGACAAATACCTTTGAAATTCGTGGCTCGTCGCATCGGGCGATTATCGTTTCGCTGTCGGCGAAAAATGCATTAGCCTGTGACTCGAAAGGTATCGTTCATCAGAATCGATTCTCCGTCCTTTAGATAATGGCTCGATGGTGTAAGAGGACGGTAATAAGGCACCGTGTTATCCGGCCAATACAGTTATCGCTCGTTCTGCTCATAACGGGACACTGGCGACCCACTCGTCGTTTCGAACACACGAACCGACAGAATTCCAAAGAAAGGGCGTCACTCTCGTAAACGAACTACCTCTTCCTATTTGATCGTTAGCGATATCTAACTTCTTCTTTTTTTTTTTTTTTTTTCAAATTCTTTTACGTAACTCTTGAGAATTCTTTTGCACGACCATCTCTAACGCCATCGTTTAAAGGAAGCTAAGTCACTCTTAGAGACAGACAGAACTTTTGGACCAGAATATTAAGAAATGCATTACCTGTTTTATGCGACATAACGGATTTGCTTCCAGGTAGAGGATTTTCCTCGAAGGAGGCATGTGGCTCGCCAGCCAGATTATGCAAAACCAGGTACAACACCACCGCGCCTATGTACGGAGTCAGCCTAACCAGCGGTCAACCTGTTACCATTGTGCAAAAATTCCCCGACCTTCTGCAGCAGGTCGTGTTCGAAGTTTGCGAGTGAGTATCAGACTGTATTATCCACTGTTACTTTCTTAGCACGTTCGATTGCGATCTGTAAATACAAACGACATGATTTCAATTGAAATTCAACGAGACCTGCTAGTTAGTCGTATCGATTCAAATGTGGCACAGCGGGCCGAACAGGTCTGACCAGGACAAGGCCTACTTTTGAAACTCTTTTAGACTAGTATTTATGACACATTGCGCTACAAATAAATTATGACAAACTCGTTACTTTACGATAAGCTGCAAAACGAAGAAATCTATATTATATATCTTCTATCATGTGCACATCAGTCGAAATTGTCAAAAATCGAAGTAATCGAATTAATATCTAGTTGAGAATCTCGACAAAAATTGAAACGCTCTGATGACAAAGCCAAGAATTCGATATTAATTTCTTTCTTCCTCTCTCTCTCTCTCTCTCTCTCTCTCTCTCTCTTCTTTCTTCGTCGCACAGCATAAAAAAACGTGAACGTTGCATTGTTCTAGATCGAAAGAGTGCGACGTGGTCCACGGCGAGTGCACGCAGACGTACGTGCCGTATCTGTTTCTAGTGATCCCGCTTGGGCCGGTGACCTTGACCGGTCAAGATTACGTGCTGGTGGAGAGCGGTTGCGTGTGCAAACCGAGAAATTCGGCGAGCGCCACGTCGGAGCCACCGGCCGTTCCAACTTTTTAAACGTTCGTCGAACCCTGTACAGTGATCAACATCGAGTGATCGTCACCGGTGTACATCTCAGCGTCGATCGTGACGAATCGGTGGAAGGTGACCCCACAGCTCGAACAACCTCGCCGAAGAACCTAGTAACCTCTTTGACGGACCTAGCAAAGAATGCTGAAACCAGTATTGAAGTCGCTGGAGAATTGATTTCTCGGGAGAAATCTGCTGTACGAACGATCTTCCCTGCGAACTCGCTGCGATGGCGCACGACTCTCTCGCACGACGGGGTTGTAATAACGTTGACCATGGGCCGGTCAGCTTTTCTAGTTCGTTCTTCAATTACCGCGGGGAACGTCTTTCCAGCAGAGGCTGATGGAACTCCTCCTTTTCGCTGCGATCACGAATTTCTTTGGAAATTCTTGATGGCTCCGAGAGTCATAGATAATTTAGGCTTCTCACTATAACTCTTCTATCACAAACTGAATTCATGAACTGTTAGCGTCGATCTGTTTGCAAAAGGCGCGCTTCACGGTCGTATAGTGGTGCGTCGGCTCTTTTATCGTCGTTTTTCTTACGTCGTCGTGCGAGAAAAAAAAAAAAAAAAGAAGACGAAGTGTAAAAGACGAAGAAAATAAGTTAGAAGAAGTTATTTCAGCGTGAAAAAACAAATCGGAGCAGCGGCGGTCGTTTCGCGGAATCCGGTCTCGGAATCCAATCGAGTTCACTAGACCTGCTCACGAGCCGGTTTCGAGCAGGTGTATAGAACAGCTTGTAACAGTGCTCCGCGAGAAGTATAGGCGAGAAATTCTTTCAAAAGGTATCGTAAAAGTTATATCATTTGGATTAACCGCGTCGTTATGAGGCGGAAACGTCGTTAATGCGTTCTCCGGCTCTTCAACTCGGCATCGTTACGTCGTTCGTTCTGTTTCACTTCTTACAAGATAATCCGGTGGAATTAGTTCAATTTATTGAGTCAATTTGATCTAATGCAAAACGCAGACGACTGGATCATTAAGCGAACGAAAGTTCCAATCTCGACTTCATTTTCCGCTACGTATTATAACTCTCGCGGATACGTATATTAAAAAAAAAAAAAAAAAAAAAAGGAATCTCTCATCATTGTGCAGAACGAAGAAACTAATTCCACAACGGTAGAGTTATAGGTTCCATATGTTGGAAACCGTAGAAAGTCGCGCGATCTTCTTTCGCGCGGTACAAAGCGAGATCTTTGAAAGGATCATGCTTATTCCCGTATTGGAGTCGGTTGAATCGCTGCTAAGATGCGTCACTGGCCTGTTTATGCTTCTCAGAACCGGACTCTGAAAGCTCGCGTTGGAATCGTACCGACAAACAGGATGGACGTGCAGTCGCGGTACGAATGGACCGTACCATGAATTCCGATGAGTATAATGTACCGTTACACGCTTTGCGGGACCCTTCACCTCGATTTACTTCAGTTGGTTATTTCATAGGCGAGATCCATGTAGCACCCAAAAGTAGCTGACTCGTATCGCTCATTCATGCCGTTCCACTTAATTATCCGCAGTTCTTCTGATGTATTCCTTCGATCGGCTATTCATTTTCTACGGTGCTTGCGAGTTTCCTACGCAATTATTTTACAACGTCGTACCAATTCTGAAATTCAAATATCTCAGTTGAAATACATGTAACAATTCTCCTACGTAATGTTAATTGTCGATCGATGATTTTTCTTAATACAACGGATGTATAAATTGAATACGAGTCACGAATTCGTAAATCATTCTGTGCCAGTGCCGTACGGGGGGAAAAGTGATAAATCAAGAAACGCCGGAATATGAAGAACGAACAATTCTTTCATATCGCATGTCATCTCTTGTATTTATAGTTGTAATATGCAAGTATATATTTATAATTTATTACTAAATTACGACGAGTCGTGTAAATGAATCTTTCATCCAACCATACACCTTGGTATCCTTTGTATCCATCTGTTAAAAACAAGCGAACAATTTCGAATCGGCGTACGATTCGTTTAAAGGAAACAGGTATAAATAATACGTACCTTTGAAATCTATTTTCAGCGACTAACGGTACTAAAAACATAAACATGGCTAACAGCCGGTTAAAAACCCGGAAGAAATAAGCAGATATGTATATATATATATATATATGATTCAGGAAAACATCCATCAGTAAAACAGTCTTAGTCAATAGTCTTCCGTCAAAACGAAAGTATTTGAATTGTTCCCTCTCTACTTTGAAAACGCGCTATGAAATACTTATTGAAACGCACATGCACGACGGAAGTTGCGCTGATTTTTATCTCAACTTTCTATTGATTTTTTTACGTACTAGAGCCAAACTATTCTCCCGTTATATTACCGATAGATACTGAATCGTTTAACTTTTAAAATACGATGATACAATTGAAATCGGAATGGAATCACTCGAAGATGTTGGCAACATTTACGAGTGGCAGCACTGTTTATTTCTAGGCAACTTCAACTTCCTGTTTCAACGGGATCGTCGCCATATTAGTGGATTGGTCTATTGTGCGTCCGCGTCCGTTCTAACGTTTGATACTTGTACATACAAAACTATACAAGATTTTACAAATAGAAAAGAACGCAGAATTCAACGACGTGTTGCTGTGATTTATATTCTCTCAATTATTGTAGGAGAAAGAAAGTGAACAGTCACCAGTCAACGTTGAACATCGTGCAAATATTTGCCCATTATCAAGATGATGTACACGGTAAATTCAGCCTTTGGTTTATAAAAAAAAGCATGTCTCGAGCTAGTTTTAATTATGATTTTTCGATATCTTCCAAATCTCAATTGCTGAATTACAGGGGACTACTGCGTCACAGGACACGAGGTTCAGTGATAAAGAGAAGAAACTTCTTAAACAAATGAAGTTTGGAGATTCCCTAACGCAGAAAGTAAATATCTAAAGTCCGATATTTGGTTATGTTAGTTGACTTTATTAACTTTCATGCTCATGTACAAAGTATACTTTATTCTCAGGTTGATATGAGCAAAGTGAAGCTGGATGTTATTAAACCATGGATAACTACGAAGATTACTCAGATTTTAGGGATGGAAGATGATGTAGTGGTAGAATTTGTGTATAATCAACTGGAAGAAAAGGTAAGAAGTTTGTTACACTAAATCAGTCTAAATATAATTAGGTTTAAGAGATTGTGAATTATTAATATAGAGTATGAAACGCGTTCACTTGGCTTTTTCCCCTCATCATAGGAAATCGATAAATACACATTATTTCAGCACAATGTTTTGTACCAGTTACAAATACTATCATCCAAAATCTGCACAATGTGCTGACTTTGGAGATGAAAAGCAAGGAGGCAGAAACCATAAATAGTCATATTTGCCTCATTGTTTTTTCTTTTTTTTTTTTTTTTTCTTAAATTTTGATAATACATCATTGTACCTCTACATCCTGTGTATCCTATATTTATTGATCTTAAGTATCCACTCCAAGCTATATCCTATATCAACGAAAAATCTGATGTAGCTGATCCTGCAACATTGTAACATTTAAAATGAATGTTTTATCATATATGTTTGAATTCCCCGTTAGTATAAGTAGAGACCGTTGGTGGGGCTCAACCCTATTGTCCAAATGGCATTCGGATGTGCTCCTCTCTGCATCCGATTGGCCGCCTTTCTATCAGCCGTCAACGCTAGCTGATGCCAGCTGGTATGTCAACGTCGTCTTAGAACACTGCTGAAACTTCAGCGTCAGCAGTTCAGCCAGCTCCGGTTCACCATCGCCAGAGGAGCCGACATATTCGCAATAATCTCGTCGCATCGTCCTGTTCCTGTTCTTCTCACCTTTGTACGGAGCTTCTGCCCGCCTACCGTCTACCATTCTACAGTTGTCTTCGTTGCTGCAACTGCGTCATCTACTGTCTGCGCTGATCATCATTTTCGCCTCTTCCTCGTGACTACTTCATGACTGCTTCGTGATTGCTTCGCGACTGCCTCGTGACTGCCTCGTGACTGCTTCGTGACTGCCTCGTTTGAGGTGGTTACTCTCCAAACTACGAAAGCTGCGCTGTTGCTTTCGATTCCTGGGTGTCTACCGATAATCGACACTTCGAACTGAAGTGGAAGGGACTCCTCACGCTGTCTGCCAAGATGCTGCGGTCTTCTCACGCAAGGACGAGCGACGCACATGGTGGATACTCCCGTGATGCAGGTTTCTTCGTTCTTCGAGCCTTCCATCAACATTCCGAGGGATGGAGGATCGTTACATGCCATGCAGGTCTGTTCTCCAGTTAATGATTCTTCAGACATACAGTCAATGCCGGAGATGTCATTGACGATGGTGGACGATGCCGGAGGTATCTCTACTCGGTTTGACACTCTTTGTCAACATCACAGGTTGGTGGAACGGTGTTCCTTCTATTCCAAATTAATCCTTTCATTTTCAGTTAACACTTTCAACATATTTCTATAGGAATTTCAGCATCTACTTTAGTGTTATTATTAAATTGAGAAGGTATCAATGTATCTGTGCTACGTGTGCGTTTATCAATGAGTATAATACTTTTTTTTCTTCTTAGCATATTACATATTAGTGCAGACGTGAAGCGAGCTATTTACTGTTGATGGTAAGGTATATTAGAAATATAAATATCTGCTTTTTCGAGGGGGAAAAGCAGTTAGTATCGACGTAGAGAGACGGATGTTGTAATGTTTAATCTCGCGCCGAAATTATATAGAACTCAACTTCTACCCAATCGTGATGATCAAATTACATCTGCGCAGAAAAATAAAAAAAGATACTGTATGTTTTACAGTTTCCTGACCCCCGAAAAATGCAGATCAACCTCACAGGTTTCCTGAATGGAAGGAATGCTCGATCTTTCATGGGTGAATTATGGGACCTTTTGGTCTCTGCTCAGGAAAGTGTAACGGGCATTCCAGAGGCTTTCTTGCAACAAAAAAAAGATCAAATTAAAAAACGTTTGGTAATTATCAATTTTTATATTCTCAGTACTGTATGAACTAGTCTGACGATTTCAAAACAATTGAGTAACTAGATTTTGACGTTCAGTAAAATGTTCAATTGAATGAATGCTTCTAATGCATGCAATTCAGTTTTATGCTTATCTATAAGTAAGTGATTTGTGTAATTAGGAAGAGCAAGAGAAACTCCAAGCTTCTTTAGCGGAGAAAGAGAAGGAAAAGGAGAGGGAGAAGGAGAAAGATGAAGCAGAAAATAAGATAAAAAAAGAAGAAAAGGAACGTGGTTCTTCGAAGGAGCGTCGGAGAGATCGAAGTAGAGATCGTGATAGAGACAGGTATTTTCTTGAGTTTATAAAATATTACTGTTGCATAACATTAAGAATGCATGGAAAAATGCACGTATTTATTACTTGTAGAAAAAGAAGTCGATCAAGAGATCGACACAGAGATCGTGACAGATCGAGCCGCAAAAGACGATCTTCTTCGAGATCGCCTAGTAAAAATTCGCTTAAGGACAACGGGAAAGATATGTCCGAGATTAAAGTAGAGCGGGAAGATTCACCTCAACCTGAAAATGCTATACCGCTTATGCCAGTCAAGACAAAACCGTAAGTATTTATATTTTATGATTGAAGGCAAACTCTCTAAAGATTATTTATCAAGGTGTTTCAACAGGGAAGCCGCTGTTGCGATATCCCGATTACAAGCTAAATTAATGAGCATCGCGGACGGAAAAAAGAAAAACAATCGTACTCCATCTCCCGAGACCCTGGAAAAAGCAAAGAAATCTAGATCTAGATCAAAATCACCCATAAGCCGCTCCAAAAAATCTAGATCTAAATCACCAAGTCGAGATTCAAAGACACGTCGTTCTCGATCACCAGCATCGAAATCTAGGCGATCTCGATCCAAGTCAAGATCAAGACGATCCAGATCTCGATCAAAATCCAGATCGCAAGATCGCTCGAAATCGAGACGTACGAAGTCCAAGTCTCCGAGGTCCCACTCGAGATCTCGATCACGATCCAAAAAATCAAGATCGAAGAGTAACGACAGAAGTAAGTCTAGAAAATCGAGATCCGAATCGAGTGATTCCAGATCGTCAAAGTCTCGGTCAAAATCGCCCGACAAGAGAAAAGATAATCTCGATTCAAACAGGAAACGAGATGCAAGTTCAAGTAGTAGTTCCGAATCGGAGGAAGACAAAGGAGCAAAAGATAAAAACGATTTCGAAATTAGAAAGAAGAAGGACGGAGTACAGGCAAAAAGATCGTACAGAAAGACAAATAAAGATGACAGTGGCAGTGACAGTGACTCGAGTCGAGAAAGGAAATCAGTTCCTAAACGAAGAAGTCCGACGCCGCGAAAAGACAGAGGTCGGTCTAAGGACAGAGACAGATCGCGAGATAGATCACGGGATAGATCACGAGATAGGTCTCGGGATAGATCTCGAGATAGAAATAGAAGGTGAATATAAATGTTATGTATTATATAACATACACACAAGTATTTATTACAATAGTGTGAATTCCGAACTTCTGTTTAGGAGATCCATAGATAGAGAACGCGAAAGAAGAAGAGAACGCGAGCGAGAAAGGGAACGAGAGAGATTGGACAGATACAGCGGTAGTCGTAGCATGCGACCTCCGTCAGTGCGTAGAGCACCTAGTAGGCGAAGGTAAGATAAAAATTATATTTGTTGGTAATAAATCGTAGAACTATAGATAAATAAATGTCAATATATCCACAAATTCGTAATTGTTACAGGAGCCCTCCTCGAAGAAGTCCGGCAAGATATCGTCGCAGATCACCAAGTCCTGGAGATAGGCGCCGAAGAAGATCTCTTGATCGAAGACGAAGATCATCGGAAAGAAGAGACAGACGTCGATCTCCAGATCGTCGTGACAGCAGACGTCGTTCGCCAGACGGACGGGACCGTTCCCTCAGGTACGATAGATCTTCCTCTCGTGACAGATCGAGTAGGCGGGACCGTTCCAGAGACAGGGACAGAAGGGATAGAGATAGAAGATCTAGAACTAGGGATCGTAGATCGAGATCGAAAGATCAAAGGTCATCGGTGGATCGTTCGAGAGATGGAAAACGATCTCCCGATCGCTCAAGAGATGCTAAGGAGAAGATAAAGGACAAGAAAGTGGATGAAAAAATTAAAAGATCAACTGATACGGGATCGCGAAAAGAATTACGAAACGGAAGGTCTAAGTCAAGTAGCTCGGAAAGTAGCGAAAGTAGTTCCTCTAGCAATGAGGATGAAGTGACCAGGTGAGTAAACGATTATCTCATACTTTCACGTTTTGTTACAGACCTTACGATTGTCGGAGCGTAAAGCAGCTACGTTGTGTTTCCTGCTTAGCAGTGAACGAATGTTCTTACTTTTTCTCTAATAATAATTTTTGCTGTCTATGTGCAGAAAGTCACTAGAGCGGAAATCGTCTCAGGAAAAACGCGAACGCGAGAGAGATCGTGAACACGCCGATGACAAACGTAAAGAAAAAGAGAAGCCTGTCAAGGAGGAATCCGTCAAACGACCCGAAAAGGACGTCAAGAAAACTGAACCTGCAAGCATCAAGAAACCAGATCCCAGCGTTTCTCCTAAAAAACTTCAATCTGCTACTCTTCCTGTAACTAGACACAGAGTAAGTTCAAGACAATTATTCGCACTTAAAATACATTTATGCGTTTGTAGCTGTTCGTATTGGTAACTTTTCCCGTGATTCTAGTTTTCAAAGAGTTTATCAAGAACCCCATCCCCGTTTAAAAAGACTGAAGACATTATAGCAGCAGTTAAAGTTAAACAACCATCAAAGTAAGTTTAAACACATTTTCTATATATTTAATACATACAAAGAAAATCGTTCACTTTAAACATTTATTACTTGTTATTTTTAGAGAAGATAATAAAGAAGGATCACCGAAAGAAGAATCGAGCTTTTCATCCGCAGATACGTTCCCGCTAAAAAAAGATGACAAGTCGATCAAATCGATCAAAACTGCATCCGAGGATAAGAAATCAGGGCAAAAATCATCGGAACCAGTTCTCTTGAAAAAACCAACAGAAGTAGCAAAGAAATCAAAGCGAGAAAAACGTGATGGTTCTTCAGATTCAAATGATAGTGAAAGCGAAGGTAGGAAGAAGTTAAACACGCAATGGTTGTGTTTCTTTAATAATTTACATTGTTTCTGATTGTAGGCAAGAAGAAATCAAGAAAATTAGAAAAGTCCAGGAAATCTAGGAAAGCTTCTACGGATGAAGAAAAATCAGATAAAGGTTCAAGCTCGGATTCTGAAGAAGAAAGGAAGCACGTGGAAAAAGGCAAAAAGACGAGAGACTCGAATCGAGGAGGTAAATTTTTAATATTTTAATTTAATAATACTGATTTTGAAACCTTAGTAATTTCCACAGATTCATTAGACGAACGAGCAAAAGATAGAAAAGATAGTAGGAAACGTGAAATCAATGAAAATGAATCTCGTAAGCGGCCGAAAAAAGAATTAGAAGAAGAAACGAAGAAATCAAAAAGATCTAGGAAAGATTCATCTTCGGGGGATGAAGATCAAAAGGTAAAAAGAAATAAAACTGAAGACGATAGATCAAGATTACGGAAATCTAAAAAAGATTCAAGTTCGGATGACGAACCGAAAAAAACAAGAAAGCGAAGAGATAGCTCTTCGGAAGATGAAAAGTCAAGAACAAGAAAATCAAGAAAGGATTCTACAAGTGAAGACGAAGGAAAAGTACGACTGAGAAAATCTAAACGGGACTCTAGTACAGACGATGAGGAAGTAGGCGAAAAAGATACAAAAAAAAAGAAAAAAGCGGATGACAGTTCAGATGAGGAAAAAGTGAAGAAGAAACGTAAAAAGAAGACTAAAACTAGCACCAGTGAATCAGAGGTAACTGTTCATTTTATCAAGACTTGATTTTTGCGAAATGTGGATACATTTTTATTACTGCAATTTGCATTTATAGGAAAGTGAAGTAGAAGAAAAAAAAAAGAAAAAGGATAAAAAGCACAAGAAACACAAGAAGCATAAAAAGCATAGAAAACATAAAAAGAAGAAGGTTGCAGATTCTGACGAATCTGATGTAAGTGAAGGTAATACAGAAGAATTAGAAAAAAAGCTTCGCGAAAAAGCATTAAAGTCTATGAAAAAAGGACATAGCATTGAGGCAAGTGATTAAGAACTTGTGAAATTTATCAAGGGTATGTCACATGTGTACCTCTATTACACTGCACTTGCATCACGGATACGTTTCAGTTCATTATTTTACCAATAAGTAGGATTTTCTCGTGTCACAGTTTTTGTGTAAAACATTTGTCTTTTAGGTCAGAAAATTTAATTCCAACTTTAAATATTAAAATTACAAAGTTCAATACAATAGCTGTACTTTTGAATTAGCAAACAAAAGTAGTATACTTTTGTGTTACTACCATGGAACAGTAATTTTTTGTGCCACTTCTGTGTATGATTGTTACATTTTTCAAAGTTAATACAATTAAGCAAAAACATGATATTTTTTTGTAGTTTATAAGTTTACGAATTAATGTTCATTTTGCACAGCGTGATGAATTTAATTTGTAAATCTAATTTGTGTAAAAATAATTTTTGTTTATATTAAATTAAGAAAGTATAAATTACATCTTGGAGAAAAATGCGTACTTCACAAGAAATCACAATCTCTTGTTAAGATATTCATTCACATAAATTATATAATAAACTTTATTCTACAACTATTGTAAATTTATTTAGATTTATGAATTACTACTGGATTTGTACGTGACATGATTTTCACGTATATACTGTATTAACGAAAATACATGATTTTCAAAAAAATTTGATTTTGTATATTAAATACAAATATAATTTATTACATTCACGTATAAAAGATTTACGGGGAAAAGAGAGCATATCAATTTTAATATTCTCCGATGTGTGCTTTTTATCATTGGCTATATCGCATTGAGAATATGAGAAGAATATAAGAATAAAATTTTCTAAATTATATTTATTTTAAAAATATAAAGTTATAATGTTGAATTATTTTGAAAAAATTTTCTAAAAAAAGTTAAAACTTCTCCCTTTTTCCTGTAAACGCTTTATATATTCTTCATAATAAAAAATATATAACAAAAATCTATTCATATTAAAAATTGATTTACAATTTAGCCAACATTGACTCCCAGTCAGGTGTACATAAAAGCATATTGCTAACTGGACCTAGGTTAATTAAGTCACCGACTAAATTTTCAGTATCCAATTTTGCGGCAATAAGATCCTGCAATAGTTATTATTAAAGTTATATCATCTAATATTTGCATTTACTATTTAAATACGTACCTGCCGAAATGTAAGATGTGATCCAACATCAACAACTAAATTATTTTCTCCTAATAACAAACGTGTTTTACCAGATTTCAAAATTTGTAATTTTCCTAAAATACCAGGTTTTAAGCTGTTTAAAGTACAAAATGCCGTTTGAGGTTTACTTTCATTTTCTTTTTCATAATTTGACATATTTGACCGATCATGTCTAGTGTTTTCTGCACCATTTACTAGACCTGGTAAACAATCTGGAAACTATATTAATCATTTAGTAAAAATGAATGATATTTTATTTTTAATAGAAATCGTTACCTGCATTAATATATATGAGTTTGCTTTATTTTCAACAATATTAGGTATGTTATCTAGGAATTCATCTTTCGTTTCACCAGATTTAGATGTCTTAATTTTAGGTTCCTTCTTTGGTGATAATACTAAAAGTATTATTATCATAAAATTATCATGAAATTATCATAAAAAATCAACAAAGAAAAAGAAACATTACGCTTACCCTCTCCATTTTCTAAAATAATTGGCTTCCTATCTTCTATTTCGTCTTGCTCTTCTTCAACTTGTACTTTATTTTCTTTGTATAACTTTGCTATAGTAGATAAAAATTGATAGTATTTAAATTATAGTATATAGTAAAAATTATAGTATGATTTATTTTTAGAATAATTATTAATGATATAACAATAAAAACCTTCTTTGATTAGTGGTAGAAGAACTGGTGCATTTTTAATGTTTAGAGAATCTCCATCATCAATAAAATCGTCTCTTAGTAACAATTTTATTTTTTCTTCCTCTTCAGCTTTATCAACACTACGATTCAGATCTAATTTTGGTTTTTCTAAACATACTTGAGGGCTCCTATCAATGTCTCTAGAACTACTACTACTACTGCGTTTTACTGGTGTATTCACTATCCCAGTGGACCAGATACCACTAGACTATAAACATATTTTTATATAAAATTTTGCAAGATAATGTTATATTTATTATTGATTTAAAGTTATTTCTAATATACTTGAATCAAATTGCTGGATCCCCTTCCACGTCCTCTGTCACGTCCTCTATCAATATTACGTCCTCTACGTACGTGATCCTTTTCTGCAGACTTTACAGGATTTACTGTTACATCCCTAAAAGTTAAATATCATTTGATTAATTCATGTACTTGATTACATACTCATCAGTTCCTTTTGTTAAGTTAACTTACTCCTTTTTCTTTATTCTTTGAGCATTTAAATTTGGTATATACACTTTCTTAGGTTTCTCAGTCTTAATGTTTCCTCCTAACGTTAAATCTCTTGGTAAACGAAAGGAAGTTAATCTAGTCGTGGTTGGTAAACCAGGTTCTGTCTTAATATTTTGTATAGCTACGGGCAAGGAGGTCCCAGGTTCTACTTTTATTTGAACATTTGATGGAAGTAAATTCCTTGCATTGCCAGATTTATTAGAAGACATTGTTATAGTTCAACTAAAAACTAAAACCAAATATGTGTTAATTATCGATGAAAACAATATACTTAAATGTAAATACATACATTCTTACTGCGATAACGTTTACGAAGAGTTTTTCTTCAATATTTAAGCACAGTACATAACCTCTTACGTACACAACAAACACAAACTTCGTAAAATGTCTTTCTGTTAGGATACACAAATATTAATAAAACGATTCGGCATTGCAATAAAAAATCTTATTATACATGCCTTACAATATAATTCATAAATCTTTTGGATCCACTTGCACACGTTACACCGTGACGTTTACCGATCGCATGTCTTACCATACTATTCTACTCTGATTAGCATATGACGTTTAAAATATATATTTATTTCATGAATTATGAATTACGAATGCAATTATTTAAATTATGAAATTACGAATATTATGTATGTAACATATTATTTATTATGTTTTCGATATTGTGTATACTATATTTATAATTTAAAAGACATTACTTCCTTTCATATGGAACAAAACCATAAAGATAAGAATTTCAATTTCGTATTAAACAAAATTTTATAATTTTCGATACGTTTGATATTAAGCCTTTAAAATAATAAGCTTTTTAAGATAATTAATAAACCTTTTAAAATAATATCTCGTATGTTTATACTGTGTGTCAAGTGTTACATTGAAATGGGCAGAAAAGGCGGGTATTTTAAAAATTATCACGAAACATCGAAAAACACGCGCGATTTCGTATAATTAATATTCTGATATTTTTTCCTCTTGCAGGATATTTCAAATAAGAAGAGGATGTTCCAAATAAACACGAACAGTAGCATCTAGGAAATGACGGAGGTTACGATGTTTCCAGGATGGCTAGTTGTGACACGGACAGGAGAACAGACTTCGTGTGATGAGGTCATCGTATGGTTTTTTAGTCGTACCGGCAATCGCGACGCGGACCGCTTGAACGCCGGCTGCTATGTATAATCCTGCGGCAGTGACATGTTTGCCATGTGCTTATCCACGACGTTTCTCCGATCGCGAGTGTAACGTGTCCTTTTTCCTTTTCAGTCCGTTCGTGTGCGAACACGTTCACCTTCCTTTTAATTTGTGTACGTTACGACTTCGCCGGCTCCATCATTGATTACGGTTTTCAGTGAGTTTCGAGACCTCCCGGGTCCGCAGCTACGGAGTGCCTGATTTCGAATCGATGTAATATCCACCGGCTAGATAGATGACCGATTTAAAAGGCGACCGGTCAACCACGGCTCTTAAACCTGTTTTTCTCCCCCCTGGACATGGAACACGTCGAGTTTTCGAGTAGCCTGCCTCCGTGATACCTACCCGTGATGTCTTTCGGCTCTAAGATCCTTCTGGTATTCGATCTGACGAAAATTTACGCCGCAAGTACGTCCGCTTCGTCGCAAAACATACACAGTACGAGCGAGTGAGTTTCTACAAGTCCGAGATTGCTTGTTTTCAGTCGATCTCATCGCTGACACAAGATCGAATGCTCTTTACGTCTTGCGTAAATATTCAAAACTTTTATGTACGCCGCGACAAGTTGGAAAGGGGCGGTGCTTGGAAGGATACCACGTGTTTCGGGATATGTGACGAGTAAAATATTGTGGCGCAGGCGCGAACTATGGTACTCGGTCGCCGAGTTTCAAATCTCTTATCGCAGACTGCGAAGCGTGCTTCTCCATGAAACGGTGCCGCGTTTTGTCCATAGGACCGTGAACGTCGATTCTCGCGCGTCGTCTGCGTGATGCTGCCAGACGTGCAGAGTGTTGAATCCGAGATTCTTCGCAGAGATCGAGAACCAATCCGGTATCAAAAATCTCTTCGGAACGTTCAGAATAAAAAAAACATTGACCCTCTGACAGACCGCGCAAACCGAATGTCCTTCATTAATAATAATTTCGTTGTTCACGGTCGATCTCGCGATCGTTCCGATGTAGTCGCGCTTCGACGGTAAGATCGCCAAATAAGCGATTGTTAATAAAACCAATTTGCATCGCGTTTCGGAAGCTTTATTTCTTTCGTCGGCATTGACCGACCTCTTGCTTGGTTATTGTTTACGTTGCTCGAGTCAAGCTAAAAAAAAAAAAAAAAAAAAAGAGAGAAGAAACGCTTGAATTTGCAAAAGGCACTTAAATGCCTTTCAGTTGTCGCGCGCACGTGTACGGGGACGTGTCGGTGCGACTCCTAGTTCCTGCGAGTTTAAACTTTTGACTCGCGTCCGCGCGCGTGTCGGTGTTTCGCGCGTGGTCTTCTCATTCGTCGCGGCGAGGACTCACACTTCGTTTGAGTGCCATTTTTGAGAGTGCCGCGACACCAAGGACCATCGAGACAATCGTCGAGCGGCTACTTTGGTCGAAGATGAACGGCGTGCAACGAATGTCCAGATTCGACACCAAGGTGAGATTACAATTTATTCATTCAAACGTCTGCCCAATTAACATATCGCCGACATTGTGGACTTATGTGCACAGCAGACTCGTGCAAATATCCATTTAACACCGTGCAGCATTCCTCGGTATTTAATTAAATATTGTTACGAATTCATCTGAATAGCGTTAAGTAGCGACGCCTTGAGCAGCGAGTCACCGCGTGGGTATGTAGCCAGCGTTAGCACGTATAAAGACGCACGCGACATTATCCAAAAGAATGAGAAACGCAAAAGAGAATGCAACGCGGTCTACTTCAAATGTGTCTCGATTTACGAGGTTATCGCTGGTCGATGAAGTAAACCGAGCCGGCTGTAAGGTTATTTAAAAAAGCATCGTTCGACATGTGTACACGTAATCGAGTCGACCTTGGCCCGCGTAACCCAGTACATACGACGCCCTTGAACAGGGTCGTTACTTCTCGTAGAAGCTATACATGGTTTCTGTCGTCGTCGTCGTCGTCGTCATCGTCGTCGTCGCGCCCCAATAGGCGCGTTCTCACGTTGAATATATTTTTCTTCGTCTCCGTCCGCAATGCGACTCCTCGTCCTTTGCTAACGTTTCTCTCTTTTCTCTTCTTTTTTTCTTCCGTCAAATTTATCGCTATCGAATATTATTTGCATCGATGCCTAGAATCGATTTTTACTGGATTCGTTCGCCCCGTCTCTGTTTTAAATATGCTTCGCTACAGCAAAGGAGGAAAAAATTGATCGTCAAGTTCTCGGTCCTACTCGAGGAAACGGAATGTCCTCGGAAATGGTTACCAAGAGTACATCGATCGCGCCTGCATTTATACCGTGTAACCTCGCGTGTTGCTTTTTTCTCACGAAACGCTCGCTAGAAACTCGCTGTGTTTCCTTGCGAGCACGTTTCGTGGCGCTTTCGATTATTTCACTGAACAACAGTCCGCGAGTCGTTGCAGATTTTGCAGGAACACGTGAAATCGCGATCGTCCATCGCGTTTCGCTCACCCGAGCCCGCTTGCGTATCGACCTTTCAACAAGATCGTATTCTCTATCGATCAACTCCTAGTGATCAACAGAACCGAAAATTTACTCCTTGGAACGCGTTCGAGTAATTAATTGACGAATTTATCAACAAACTTGGAGGACGAACGATTTCAAACAATCAAAACGACGGGACTATGGTTTTCTCGCCGTAAATACGAGCAAAAACCATACAAGGTTCGTCCAAGACAGTCAGTGGAAGAACATTACCATTATTCGGTATGGGGCTTCGCAGGTGTGCATACGTGCGCGACTATAACGTGCAATTAGGTGTCTTAACACCGAGGCTGGTGCACCGAAGTAACGCGATACTTACACTGGTCTATGGGCAATGCGACTCCATCGAGCTGCGAGTTTTGATTCGAGCTGGCCGACACGCTAGAGTCGATTTCAACCCTCCAGGCTTGTCTCGTTGCCAGCCAGTGTTTAGAAAAAACTCCTTCGAGATCCTGGTGTCTCAGGATCGTTTCAACCCCTTGAAAACGTACGGACGTTTCTTTAACTCGTGGATGTCGAATGGAAATCTGAGGATACAAACGCGTGCACACGATACAAAGATATTGTAGAACATTTGTAGGCCACGGTAAAATATATAAAACATTCAAATACGTAAAAGGCTTGCATAGTTTTTCATTCATTTTTCACAGAAATATAAATTTGCGCGACAACAGTATATATAATAGATCTGACATCCCGTCATTGGTTCGATTCGATTAGCTTGGGGCTGCTATCTTTGTACGTGTTCGCATTGAATATTTGTTTCGTTAACAAACGGATCTCAACACGATTGAAAGAGTTCAGGTGGCCCAGTCTAATTAGAATGAAACGAGAAGCTGGAGAAAGGACACAGTCCAGTGTCCAGTGTGTGTAACAGAGATCTCCGAAATGCTGTTTACGCAGACGAGCTGGACGATAAGACGTTACCCTTAGTGGAGAGGAAGTTGCTGTAACCGATATAAATAGCGTTGACGAATGCCGTACAATCTCGTAACGCGATCGCCTCGCAATTTCTTGCGCTTTTTACTGTTCGTTTCTCCAGCCGAATAATAAGCTCCGTTCCAGGCATTTGATCGGTGAGGATTGGTCAGCTCGGACAGAAGCGATCTAAGTCAATTACATCGCAACCATAGACTTGTAGCGTTAAAATCACGACCGTTGTTACCGCGTGTAACGCATTGCACAAGCCACGGGTTTATCTGCCAGCCAGTAATCGGTAAAAAAAAAGGTACACGATACCGTTGACTCACTCTGTTTAAATCCATCAAGATGGTCGCGCGTGCTTTTGTGGATCCTCTTAAAAGTTAAAGCCAACATTTTGCGATTCTTCTCTAAAAATCGCTCGATGGAACTGTCGAAATTAAAATTTGATTAAGAAAGAACGGTTTCCACGCACTCGTTTTTGCAACGGCTAGACAATTGAATAATGAAACGAGGGAATAAAATTTCACAGTTGTAGCCTAACTGTATCGTAGAAACACGGTTCGTTCAGTTGAAAAATCTCCGACGCAAAAGTGGACGGGCGTGCGTCTAAAGCTTTAAAGGAAATTGTGCCTTAACGTAGACTATATAGCGCCAGTTTACGACTTGTTCCAGCAAATGGTAATAATTGACCTAATTGCGGCAAATGAGCCGTTCGCGCTTAAATACACTCCGTGTATCCCGCGATTTGCTGCTGCCGTTTGCGAAATAAGATTAATAGCGGCCTGTCCGAGGGAAACCGATGATCGATCGCGGGTTTTATCGCCTTTAATTTCGTAATAAGGTAACAATAGGCCCGATGTTTTTAACGAGAGAAACCGCAACCGATTTTGCCGCGGACAGATCGCGACGAAAACTCGGAACATTCGGCGCGGCACAGTTTCCTCGAGCGATACAGCTCGATGATTTTTCGATTTTAGTCACGTAAGTCTGGTTTTACTCGCAAGCACACGGCTACGTGAA